CAAAAATTTTTAGTTAAATCAGTTATAGAAGACGATGATGTGGCAATCCGGATTAACGGAACTCGGGGCGCTACAGTAGATCTTTATACATATTTTCTTCTTCTTCTTCTTCTTTTGCAAAGTACCAAAAAAAAAAAAAAACTCGAAACTGCATCTGGTTCACCGGTTTCTAGTTGAACCAGTCATTTACCGAATTTTTACCTATTTCTGTATTATCGAGTACTTGGCTACAATCGAACAGGTCCGATGGCTGGTTCATGATTTTTCTAGTCGAACCAATCCGATTTACAAAATATTGGTAAAATTACATATATACTCTAACTTGTGATTGGAAATTGAAATTTACAGGACTTCCAAAAAATTTTGAAAAATATCTCTAGCAATTAACAAATCGAATTAATTGTAAAATACTGAGTCTTGAATGAATGAAGCCTTAATTTTAGCAATGTTACCATTTAGATGATCTACTTGGTCGTTTCATTTTCTTATTTTATAGCCCTTTCATTATTTTCATAATGTATTTTTCTCTCTATTGTTTTCAACTACACATTTTTCAATAAAATAACATTATACGCAAATTCAAATTTTTTCCTTATTTTTTAACTAGATTTGCTATATCAAAATGTTATTCCAAAATACATTTTCATAAAAAAAAAAATGGGACATAAACACACAATATACCTCGAAATTTGGATATGAAGCCAAGGGCAGACCTAAGATGAGGTCCATAAGGCGGCTGTCCCAAAAACTCCCCACCCCTCCTCCTACCCCTACGCTTAAAACTCAGGGCAAAATAACCACACAATATACCTCGAAATTTGGCATTAATTGATCATTCAAAAATATTAAAAGTACTATATATTTATCACACTTTAAGTCTATCCTTATTAACATTTTAAAGTATTATATTCATCCATGTTACATTCCACTATTATCCTTATTATCGTTCATTTAAACATTATAATGTTTACCACATAAACTCTTGGGAATTAACAAAATTATATAATCAGAACGATTGTCTTAATTACTTAATTTTAAAAATTTTAGATGCAAAAGGAATTAAACTAAAATTTAGAGGTTATATCATGTGAGAAATTGGAGTAAGCAATAATTGGAAGTTTGTTCAATTGGAATTCAGTAAATTTACTTAATTTAGAAAATGTAATATAATTTTTTAAAAAAAGTAAATAGGTATATAAAAATATTGAATGAAAATAGCGCCAACCATCAAAAAATACAAGACCTAGGCTTTCAAGACTAAACTCAATATCATATGAAATGAAAACAAGAATACAAACAGTTGATGTATAATCAAGTTTTGAACAATTTCTTGATCTCCACACACAAAATATCCAAGAACGCCTCAATCAATGTCATGACTACTAAAAGAAGAAATTTTGATTATAAATTACATGAATAAAAGAAGAAATTTTGATGATTTACGTAACCAAGATTTTTAATCAAGATGAAAGCGAAACCTCCGCTAAAACTAGTGGACGACGGAAGAGAGAGAGAATCAAGAAATATATATATTACAAGTATATACACAGACAGTACATATTTTTTGATAGAATTAATCTAGTTGTATAATTAGTTTTTACAACTAGCGAGTTGTCAATATTCATGTCTTTCATTTTAAAAATAGTTTTTAAAATAGATGGCTGTGATATCTGTCAAATATTCAGTTGTAAAGAAAATTATACAAGTATGATAATTGTTTCCAATAAAAGGGAAGTGGATACTCGGGTTTACACCCTCCACACTGAGCGAGGTCCGCACACAATAAATTGTACACCCGAATTTACACCCTATATACATGTAGTATCTCCCCTTAGAAAGGGACATGAAAGGTGGAAATGGGAATTCTAGATTTGGGTTTTGCCCTTTTACACCAATAACTAAAGATGGGAAGAAAACAATACAAGTGGGGTAGTCAAAAATCACGCCATCAATAGTTGTTTAGCAAAAGGTTGCTCAGTTGCCAATTGTTGAGTGTACAGTAAGTGGTGTGCTGTTCAATTCTAAGAGGTTGAAATGGAAAGACGCCAAAACTCTTTAATCATCCTTTTAATTTTTTTTTCATATTTATTTTTTGACAGCATTTTTGAGAATAACGAGTTTTTGAATAAGAATTTTTTGAAGAATGTGTGGTTAAAAGTTAGAATTTTTTTTTTGAATTTATATGAAGAATATTTATTGTGAGAATGTGTGGTTAAAAAGAGTTAGAAAAAAAAATTGAAATAATGGTAAACAAATATGAGCTTAGAGGTGGACCATGGATGATTGTTGGGGTTAGGGTTGGGGAGGGTATTCTTAGGTCGGTGGTTGCTTTCGATTTGGGAGAGGAATGAAGGACTTCTCTATTTGCGGTTGCCTTGTTCTATTTTTGTGAGTTTAGTCTGTATATTCTATTTTGCCGTAAGTTTTAGAGTCGGGTAGTTTGGGTTGGGATGAAATTTTTTATTAGTGGCCACAATTAAACGTGCACATTATTTTGAAATATTTTATGAGTGTTATAAAAATAATATTTGTAGATGTGAGAATATAAAAAATAATTAATACGAATTATTTTTGTGAAATGAACTTTTGAATCAAATGAAATAAAAATCTGTTTGTGAAAAATAATTTAAATAGTCGAGGAAGTTGATCTGAACTGAACATCCAACGAATACCATCATTTTTTCATATTCACTTAATATGCATTGAATATATCAATTGAAATTGTTTATTGTAGATATGCATTATATCCCCTATTTACCTTCTTTGTATCTTAACATTCATTGAATAAATCAATTGGAAGAAAACTCTAAAATAATTGACAAAATAACTCATATAATATTGTTCAAATGATTAAATAAATCATATACATATTAAAAAACGAAAATGTAATGAATCTGTTAAATATGATTAAATAATGAAAAACTAAAAATAAGATAATGAATATGTCAAACTTACATTCATCGTAACTAAATAGTTTATAAAATAATTAATGGTAATATTGTTCAAATTATTTAAATGATTAAAAAATTAAAAAATATTGAAAAAGGAAAAATATGGCATTATTGAAATAATTAAATACATATTGAAAAACAAAAAATAAGATTTTATTGAATTATAGTAAATATATAATAGTCCAAAAAATTATTCTCTCTTGATGTGATATTTGATATATTATAGATTAATAAAAAGATTTAAAATTGTAATATTTACTTTATCTTTTGTTTTTGTCGTCCGTATTTTTTATAACTTATTTTTCTTAAACTCATTTTTAAGTATATATTCTTTCAATAAAATAATTTTGTACATGAATTCATTCATTTTCCCTACTTTTTAGTAACATATTATCTTGAAAATCTATTTTTCACAAAATTTATTTTCAAAATATTTATATCAAACGCTTAGAGCCCGTTTGATTTGTGTTTCAAGTTTTAGATTTTAGATCATTTTTTGTTTTATGTTTTGAAGGCCTGTTTTGAAATTGTTAAAAATGTGTTTGGTTTGTCATTTTGAAAAATTATTTCTCAAAATAGAAAACTAAAAAACAAGTTTGGTTTGAAATTTTGAAAAATTATTTTATAACATTTTATTCAATGAAATTTGATTATTAAATAAAAATAGAACAATTCTATGTTAATATATCATGAAATAATATATACATTTTAAAGTTGGTGAATTTTACATATTTATTCTTGCTACAAAAGTAAAATAACAATAAATAATAAATTGAACTCAAAATATAGGAAGTAAATTATGTGAACTGAGAATATTTTTATCTATGTTCATTTAAATTTTATTTTTTGAATTTCTATGTAAATAATCATTAAGAGTTTGAACAGCAAATCATACACACCCTAATTGCCTTGTATGTTTTTGTTTTGAATAGAAGGATAAATTTGTCATTTTACTTGAATTTTAAAAACAAAATGGACGAAGGGACGTGCTTTGTAGTTAAGTGAAAGTGTTAGAATGTCTGGTGCTAAAAAAGTTGAAGGTAAATTAGCCCCTATTTGACATCCTTAAAATTTTAAAAACATAATGACTTTGTTACATGTACATTAAGGATTACATCAAGTGTTACATAATGTAGAAGTGACATTATGTAACTGGTTGGTGGAAATTAAAACAAATTACATAATGTCATTTGTGGATTATGTAACCATTGACGTAACATTTGATGTACAAGTAAAATAATCAATATTTTATTGTATAAATGTGTGATTGAAGATGAGTACGAAAAATAAATTAAATTAAAGGTTTATCCACTATGCCATGGCCAATGTGGCCCTGACAGTATAGTAAGGTCCTTAAATAAAAGTAAAGGATGTCAAACATGGGCTTAGTGATATTTTGAAAAGATTAGGAATCAAATTTGCAAGATCTCTTTGATTAATGAATAATGCTATATGTATATTTTGCATGACACCATGGTTGATATTCCCTTATGTGGAGGAAATTTGTGCAGTAATGTGATTGATGAGTATGAGATCAAAATTAAGAGTATAAATGTTGCCACGTTGAAGAATATAAAGAGACGTGCAAGGGAGAGAATAAATGTAGCATAATTGTTGATTAATTACACCTTACATGGCTTCCAGCTGTCCAATGCCTTCATATACCATATTATCATCATTCTCGCTGCTAGTCGTTTCACACTATAAATCCTCAAATGTAGTAAATATCTCACGCTACCCCACTCAACCCCACTAGAAAAAGCCTGTTTTTTTTTTTTTTCACTACGCTCAACTTGACGATCTCCAAAAGAGTATGAACTAGTTACTCATTCTAACAGTAGTCTAGCTTAAAGTTTTTACAGGACATGCCGAATTCGAATCGGAGTTCTATCAAGTCTCTCATTCTAATACCAGTGTATTAATGATGCATCTGAAAGAAAAAAAATCTTGAATGCTCGTGCAAGAATCGAGAAATATATGGAATCTGCCACTAGATGAAAGGAAACATACACGAAGAAGAATGAACTGTTTTCATATTTTGTTCTCTTACAATAGCCTAGTCATCGAATTAAAACCCTAGAACTTTAAAAAAAATGGAAAACGTTGATACCCTTTAGCCTTTCAAAGCCAAATAAAAGTAGAGAGAATTGAACAATCAACAAGGATTGCTCTCAGGAGGATTGAGGAGTTTGGGCCGAATCTTGGCCCGGCAAAGAGGACAAACCGGGTGCTTAGACAGCCAAGAATCAGCGCACATTAGATGGAACCCATGGTTGCAACCCGGAATCATTCTAGCCAGCTGATCGCTCTCGATGTCGTCCAAACACACTGCACAATCAGTGCCCAGAACCAAATCTTTTCCTGTGACTTTTGGGAGTTTTTCAAGATCCGCGGTGGAGAGACCCGTTCCTTGACCGGGCTTTACAGGAGGCCCGAACTCCGGGTTGTTGGAACTGGCACCGTACCATGGCAAACAGACGTAAACCAGGATCACTGCACTCATGCCGGCGCATGGTAGAAAGAGTGCAAGAAACACTGATAATAGCATGTTTTCCTTTCTTTTCTCTCCACGACCACAAGGGTATTCAAGAAATAGAATGGGCTATAAATCTAGGGCGGCTGGAGCGTGATGCACGCCATGGCTCAGTTTGAAGGTATGCCCGTATGAGTGTTGTGTGGAAATGGAAGGGTTTATATATGCGGTGGTTCCGTGGTGGGCAAGGGTTCAAGGGGTCGTTTGGCAGCATGCAATGAATGGGGACTAGGGTAGGGTTAGGCAGTAAGGTGATTTGGAATGTTTAACTAGAGGTCACCCAACTTATTAGCTTATTTCATAGTCAGTCATCAAACTTCATTTTGTTTTAAACTAATCATGTAACTTATGTGTTTGTTACAATTTTGACCATTCCTCTGGTCCCTCTACTTAAAACTAATGGCCCGTCCCATGTTCAAATCTTATAGCTATAGTTCCAAAAAATCAATTCGAGTTGGTTATTTCCCTTCTCATTTCATAAGCAATGAAAAATAGCAATATTTCAAAACTCAATTTGAGTATCGAATGAAAGAAAGTGTTAGAGAGTTGTTCGGAATCGAACTGGTGGTAAAATAAAAATTAGATATATAAATAGAAATAGAAATAAAAATTAGAGGTGAAGTGACCTTATCCATTTGGGGAGAATTGGCTTGTTTTAACGATTAAAGGGGTCGATTTTAGATGTGAACTTGCCGTTTAGTGGTTATTTTAGCAATTTTGTATAATCTAATTTTTATCCTATTACCGTATACACCTCTGAGTCAATTCTTGATTTTTTTTCTAGTTGAACTGGTTGGTCAAATTTAATTTTGAGAACATTTAAAAGTTATACATTATAACACTTGGTCTCTTAAAATCTTGATTGAAATGTGACAAAAACATTTTTTTTTTTTTTTTATAATCGTGGATGTTTGGACCAGTTTGCAAGCACATCGACTAATCTCATGGGGTCCTGAAGTTTACGATCGGGTACTTATTTCAGTGGTCCTAAGAGAACTCGAACTGGTGATCATTGTGGAGCAAACTCAAGACCTGACCAATCGAGCAACCCCTCAAAATTTGAACTGTGACAAAAACTCGTTCCGATAAATAGGGTGGACTATTAGTTTCAATCACGAGTACAAAAAAATGGTTAGACCGAAACAATACATAAGTACGGTGATTATTTGGAAATAAAATAGTGTTTGAAAGTTGAAACCACAATGAAATAAATTTACACGTGGAGATATTTCCAATGAAAATCTTTCTATATGGGATATTGGGCAAGGAAATGCAAAAGTTGTAACGGATTTTAATGGGGAACGAAAAATAAGCGAAACAGAAAAAAATTGGATTCAAGGAAATACTAAGTTATAATAAATTTTTAATTTTGATTTAAATTTTTATTAACTTCTTAAGTCACACCAAGCAGGGGCTAAATACACTTGATTAATATATTTTACTATGCTTACATTTTTCTTTTTAATTGAATATAGTTTATTGCGTCCTTCTTGTTGATTTGAAATACTTGTGCTGTGAATGTTAGAGTGAACTTTTGAACGGTGAGGCGTTCAAATGTTTCTAATGGCCAATAGAATACGCGTAATGTTTGGTCATCTGTCATTATGATGTTAACTTGTGCTTAGTTGCATTCCGCATATCATTGTCTCATTAATGTGCATAACGTCTGGCAACCTCACAATGACCTAATTTGCAAAATGTTATTGTAGGTAGCAAGTGTGGGGTCTTATTGTGAATTCTGTTTAAGCTCGTAGATTCGATAGTTTTTACTTAACGTAAGGTATATGGAGGCTCTTGTTTTTGAACCCAATGTACTTGTGCATCTCATTCCAGAAGCTTGCACATTGCGCTAGAGCTCTTGACAAGGATGCACGGGGGACTATGATGTGTATAATTGCTATACGATCCAACTGCCCATTACCTTATGCTCGAGGTCATGATAACCTTGAGTACTCTCATAGGGCCAAAACATCCTCAAGTTCATGTAGTTGGGCTCAAGGTCATGATGCCTCGAGCTCTCTCCCTGAGCCAAAACGTCTTCGGGCTCGTATGATGGAGCTCGAGCTTGGGCTTGAAGCCCTTGGACATCTCGTGTTCCTCATTATCATTTTTCCTCTCTTTCTATTAAGTCCTCTAATTTAATAGGACTCTACCACTAGAGTTTTATGCTTATCCAAACATCCTATCTTACAACTCCAATCAAATTACAACTCCTAGGTATGGAAAGACTCTCAAACACTTCACAACTCTTTAATCAAATAAGGGCATTCAATTAGCTTAATTATACTAGGAGTGCACTATCTACCTCTGCAAATACAAACTATTGAGTCATTATTTAGGTACGCTTTTACATATTTTATCATATAGCCTTTTGTATAAATTCTATTCTCGCTAACTTAAGTATGAGATGGGCAACGAGATCACACCTTGTTGCCATCCTTTCAGGTATTGAAAATTTTGTTCGTTCTCATTTCTTGTCGTCAAACTCGGGAATGAACATGTGCAAATTTTTGGTAGCATCATTTTCAAGTATTGGAAATCATGTTCATGCTCATTCTCGGTCGTCAAGCTCAAGTATCCTCGGGTGTAGATCATTGACACATTTGTTCTAGGTCTTGGTGCTCATGTTCGTGCTCATTCATCGTCGTTAAGCTCAATTATTCATATGTGCAGATTTTGGTAGCATCAGACCTAATTTTCATATTATTAAGCATTCGACTAAATCATTAAAATACTACTAGTCCTAATTATATTTTACATAAAGAAAGAAACCTTTATAAATTGTAGCGGCAAGTCATCCGGCTAGCTTCCTAGCCACTTTTACACCTTTAATTGTGTCCTATGAATAACTTTACATGAAAGTGTAAGTTTTTCTTTGAAGGGAGAAACTTGATATGAGTTCAAAAATTTTATGTTAAAACTTGTTTAAATTCTTAAATACATACATTCTATTGTGGTAATTCTAAAAGTTGGGCATTACATTGGAAATTGGTACACTTTAAGAAATATTAGGATTTCATTTGTCCTAATAATCTTGTCTTTTTATTCATGAATAAAATATGCTTTTACTGTTGTTTTTCCTTTTCTTTTGTTCTCTTTGAAGTTTGAAGGTTGATGCACCAACTAATAAAAGTCTAGATTTGATGCATACACATTAGATCATGTTGTTAGATTCGGTTCGAACATGATTTGATCAACTCGTCAAATCATCGAGTTTTTGGTTCAACTGTCAGCTACTAAAGATAATTCTGTAAAATATGATTTAGATAGATCTTGATGTTGGTTGACTTTATTTAAAATTTATTATTTATAACTAGTATTAAATTAGTATACTTAAGTTCTGTATCTATTATTGAAGAGGAAAAAAGTAAGTTCTCGTTTTCATAGAAAAAGATAAAGTCAAAATATAATTATTCCTATTAATGTATGATTCAATTCGAAAAATAAGTGAAGCAAAATTTAAATAGAATCCCTTAATTAAAATTATTTTTCTAAGCGTACAATTTTCAATTTAAATTGAAAAATATTTATCAGTCTAAATGCGTAAATATGTTAATTGTAGGTCCAACTTGGATGCATTTGGATTCAATTGACATGAAAAAGGTGAAATTGGAGCTAAAATTGAAATTGGTTTGGAGCAATTGAAGATCAATCGGGTTGCAATTGATCAATTGGAATACTTATCGGAGCAATCGATAGTAATTCATAAGTTTTGGGAGTTAAAGCCCAAGGATCAAGATTGCAAAGAAGAAATGATGTAGATTGAACAGAGATTAATCTGGAGGGCAAATTGTAATAGACGAAAAATTAGGAAACTGCGATAGCAAAACCCTAAGGTTTGTGATCACAATTATCAGAATTGCTTGGTCAGTCCCCCAGATCTTGTCCATGTGCGATTGTAGTCCCTATAATTTGTGAACACACAGTTCGGTCCGAAATAAATTCTTTTCTTTTCTTTTTCAATCAAATATTTTTCCAAATTTGACCTAAATGTTGTCCTATAAATATAGATATTCATCTAAAAACAGGAGAGGAGACGAGATGAAGTTTGGAGGCTCAAATATTCAATTTCTATATATTTAAGAGAGCCAATTGAAGATCAAATCATTACTTCTTTTACATCATTGAAAAAGTTTTTGATACATTACACATATACGTATTTTTACATCAAATGTTTGGGGTTATTGAAGAAGAAGATCAAATGAGAGGACATCGAAAACCATTAAAGCGATTCAATATTACTTTCTATCTTTCTTTCGAAATCTTAATTTATGGGTAATAATACTATGATATTTGATTAGTTATTTAAATGCTAGAATAACTTGAACCCTATACTTTGATATCTTGATGTTAATTATATGATTTTGACATTAAAACAATTGTTTGGTGTTGAATGTTTGTTATGCTCTTCACAATTTCAATTAATTGGCCGCTAATTGAATTGATGTATGATTCCTATTGATAAAGGGGAGAAGGGATAGTGAAGATAGCATGTGATAAAATTCATTGCAAAATTAAATAGATATTAGGTATAATGTTTAACTATAGCACGATTCAATTGATGTTCTTCTATTTTAATGCATTGCTTCTCATAAATTCGGTATAGAGATATTTCAAGTCGTGCTCAGGAATATGTTCGATTGATCTTGGGAAGACTATTGAACATGATAAGACTATATTGTGGAATTAATGTTAAGATAAATGAATGTAGGGGTTCACGGGGGTCCTAGTGCTTAATCAATTGATCAAGTAGCCATATATCCTACTACATTGTTACATTAGTTAGATCAATTATAGATTTATGTTGTTAATAATCACCATTACATCAATCTTGTGTTTTTACATTCAACTAGATGTAGAGTTAATTGAGAACTCAACTAAATATTAATTTCTTATGGGATTGATGTTTGGACTTACGTCAATTTTACCACTTGTTCACGATCCGTACACTTGTTGGATAAAAATCGATAACAAGATTTTTGCGTCGTCGCCGGAGAATTAAATTATTTAGTTTG